CAAATTAATTATACAGGCTGCACACTGTCCTCCCACAAACTAGGTACTCAGTTTACGGACCTCAGAAGAATGGAAGGTTGAGTCAAACTCAAAGCTGGCTATCCGAATCTGTCAGAATTGAACTCAGGTTATGAGCAGAGTCTTCACTGCAGTATTGCAGTTTAACCATTGCACCACAAGAAGCACAATATCCTACATTCATAAACCAGAATTTTAAAAAAAATTAGTGTCTTGGCTTTTTAGAATGGAAGTTTGCATATACATACAGTATACTACACATACATCCCAACAGAAACTTCCCTCATGTAGAATGACTCAATACTGGAAGATCCCAGAAGAGGAGCACATGATCTGTACCATGGTTGCTGGGAGAAGACAGAAGCAAGAATTGTTGGGATGTGGCTGTAATCCCTCTGTGCCGAAATATTTTGAAGGGCTGTTTTTGGGCTTAATGAAATGGTGAAGCAAAGATGTGTGTAGGTACAACACATACAATGGAGAAACGTACACATCCTTGAGCCTCTCAAGTAAACTAATGTTGCCATGCTCATTCTGCAGAATGCAGACTAGAAAATTATGTTCCACTTTCCAAATCCTTTCCTTGGGGTAGCCAATCTGAGGAAGAAAAGCTATATTGGAACACAAGCTTTACAAATATGTTTTGTGCATGCTTACCAAAAAATGCCCCCACAACTTTTGAAATTAAAAAGAGAGAGACAGCAGGGGGGTAGCAAAGATTGCAACTGGAAACCAAGGTCAGAATCGCCCATACTATGTGAAAAAAAGACAAGGAAGAAAGATAGTGACAAAAATCAACACTTGAAATGTGGGGTTGGTACAGATACTAAACAGCCAGAAAAGCAGAAAAGTAGGTGCTCAATCAAGTCAAGTCTGAACTCTCAATGAAGAAAAAAATGAGTCAACGGAGCCTATCCTACCATGCAAATACAATAAAAATATAGAACTGACTAGAAAAGACTATATTGTCTGGATAAGTTGGACAGATCATTAGGAAAAGAGGAAGAACTAGCATTAGGTGTATCATTTCTATTTTCATGTATTTTAAAAATGCAATATCAGGCTTGGCCACAAGAGAGGAGAGCAATTTGGGTGTTATTAAGACAATATAATGTCTCAATAACACCCAAAGTAACCTATTATTTTGGTGAAGGGAGCAAGGATAACAGCAGCAATTATCTGGCTATTCCAAGGTAAAGAATAATGCAACCAGTCCCTTTTAAATAATAACACTAATTTCTGACAAAAGCTGAGGACTTCCAAATGATAGTACCACGTGGAAAGAGATGTGACCCTCTCAGAAACTTTAGAGGCTAGATTAGAACCCTACTTTCACTATCCTTGCCACAAGCAAAGCCAAAGTGCTAGGAAGTGGCACCAAAAATATTTACTCCACTCTCCCTCCATGCAAAGATCCTAACAACACTTAAGAAAAGTATTGTTGTTTAGTCATTAAGTACTGACCAACTCTTTGTGGTGAGCACTCAGGGTTGATTTCCTTCAGAATGGATAGGTATGATCTCCTTGCAGTCCAGGGGACTCTCAAGAGTCTCCTCCAGCACCATAATTCAAAAGCATACATTTTTTGGTGGTCAGCCTTCTTTATGGTCCAACTCTCACTTCCATACATCACTACTGGGAAAAACTATAACTTTGACTATGCGGACCTTTGTCAGCAAGTTGACGTCTCTGCTTTTTAAGATGCTATCTAGGTTTGTCATCATTTTCCTCCCAAGAGCAGGTGTCTTTTAATTTTGTGGCTGCTGTCACCATCTGCAGTGACCATGGAGCCCAAGAAAGTAAAAATCTGCCACTGCCTCCATATCTTCCCCTTCTATTTGCCAGGTGATAGGACCAGTGGCCATGAACTTAGTTTTTTGTTTGTGTTTTTTTTTTGATGTTGAGCTTCAGACCATTTTTTTCGCTTGTTGTGGCAAAGGGGCTTGAGTAACTCAGAGAAGCTATGGGCTATGCTGTGCAGGGCCACCCAAGACAGGCAGGTCATAGTGGAGAGTACAGACTAAATGTGGTCCACCTGGAGCAGGAACTGGCAAGCCACTCCAGTATCCCTGCCAAGAAAACTCCATGGCCAGAAACAAAAGAAATGTATTAAATTCAATTAAATTGAACAACAGTGTCTTATTTTGGTATACAGGAATTATGTCCTGTCATACTTGGTTCTGTACTAGAGAAAAGGATATGTGACTTCAACCACCAACAATAGAACCTCCAGTTATGCATACTGCTCCTTGAATGAAAAATGCTAAATAGTACTGAAAAAGCTGTTTTGCACATGCTCCCACACCACAGGCAATGGAACAAGGAGAAAAACGGTATCTGGAGCAGAACACTTGGTAGTATGCTGAGAGAAATCACATGTAGCTGCCCACATTGTTTACCACCACTTCAGTTGTCTGGTTAGATACCACCACGTCTTGAAGGAGGAGGCAGAAAGTGTAAGACAAAAAAGCAGAAAGGAGGCAGAAAATGTAAGACAAAAAAGCAGAAACAAAGTGACCTACTGTGAGACAGGAGGCGAGAGGGGTATCCAACTCGCTGGAGTGTCATCCCTCATCTGTACTGCAGAGAAGGAAGTGCAGACCCAACCTACCTCACCCCCCAAAGGGACAGAGCAGTGAGGGACAGAAACAGAGGAGATAGGAGGAACAAAAAATTAACCATTGAAAGGGTCCAGGGAAAAATGTTGGGAATGGAACGGAAGAAGAGGATGGAGATAGAGGCGGGGGCTGCAGATATAAAAAGAGGGGAAGAGCAGGCTGGGAATGGGTTTGGATGGAAGACCCATGGATAGGTGCATTGGAAAGACTAAGAGTGCCCAGGGACAGAAACAGAGGAGATAGGAGGAACAAAAAATTAACCATTGAAAGGGTCCAGGGAAAAATGTTGGGAATGGAACGGAAGAAGAGGATGGAGATAGAGGCGGGGGCTGCAGATATAAAAAGAGGGGAAGAGCAGGCTGGGAATGGGTTTGGATGGAGGACCCATGGATAGATGCATTGGAAAGACTAAGAGTGCCTAAGGAGGCAGCGGATTATAGGAAGAGAAGGGAGATCCCACCACGACCATCCTATTGGGGCGAGGCAGAGGCCTGAGAGTGGAGAAGGAAGCTGAGAGAAGAAAAGGAGAGAGTAGAGAGAGAAAGGAGAGAGAGACTGGAATGAAATGAGGAGGAAGGAGTTCAGAGAGGACCATGGACGACTCCCACACCTGAAAGACGTCTCGTGTGGGGTGATGGCCAGGATGATGAGACCGTGCCCCTGCTGGAAGGCCAAAAGGGACAGACTGTGAACCCGAACACCTTGGCAGACTGGCCGGGTCCATAGAACTCCAGTGGGAAGGACCTGTTCCTAGACGATGAATGGAAGCCCCTTCCTGACCCGTTGTCCAAATGAGAAAAACGTTGGAATCATTTCATAGACACTGGTTATTTGTTAAACACACCAATAAAAATTTCACCTGTTTCTAAACAACAACAATCTCCTGATTTCTTTGAAACAAGGAAGGAGCCCAAGATCAAAACCTCACACCTGCATAGAGATTGTAAAAAATTCTGCATGGAACCCCAAAAAACAGTGCAACAAAGGCTAAGACTATGCAGTGAGCAGGAACGTTATACACTGCTTTACAGAACAGAGAGACTAGGGTATCTCAAATGGTATGTCCCATTGTATCTTCACCCACTGTTTCTCTCATTGCACTCCCACCCTGACTCCACACTCCCATTCAAAGTATACATCCCACTTATTTGCCCACCTCAATGTCTCATCTCACTTGCTCAGATGTGCCACTTCTTAATAAAATGTATTCTGAGTGCTCTCTCTCATTAAATGACTGGAACAATAACCACCTTTGCTCTTTCTGCTCCTGTGCAGAAAGAAAACTTTCTGAAATAATTCTGGGTGCCACTTTACCACCCATTTTGGTTCTTTTGCTCAGCAGATCCCTCGTGCTGGGGAGGGATACTTATGAATATACAAAGAATCTAAGAAGGTCAGCATTCCCAGGAACCCTTTTGCCTTGTTGCTTGTTTCCGTGCTTCATAGCTGTTGGCTTACTGGAAAATGTAGCATCTGCAAAGTTTTTTTCCTTTGTTTGTGCATAGATCTAAGGAGATCCAGTCCTTGGACTGTGGCTTGATATGCAGCATCCTAACAGGAAAACAAGTACTGTAATGTGTTGGGGATGCAGATAGTGTTGGCTATGAGTTACATTTTCCTCTGCCACCACTCTAGTACCTTGTTACAGTGAACAACTGTAGCTACAACTCAATTCAGGTGGCGAAGTGGATCGTCTTACTGGCAGATATGCCCACAGAGAACAAATGCATAAATTAGCAAAATCTGAATATTCCATGTCTTGTATCCAGTGTGGAGATAAAACTATTTTTCCACTTGCATTTGTTTGTTCCCTTTCCCCAGTAAATATGCCTAGCAAACAATGAGTGCAATGGCTTTGAGAGCTGCCATGTATTGGGTGTTTCTGATATCGATGCTAAGGAAGCTTTTAATCACCTGGAATCTGCCCCTAAGGAAATTTGGTTTTAGACAATTGAGGGTAAAACTCATTTATAAGTGGATTTTACACACGGAATGCAACTAACAATTGATTTGTAATGAGGCCTAACTTTGAAATGATCTTTAAAAAATAATTCCAGCCCCCCCCCGCCCTTCCAAGAAAACAACTCCCGTTCTTGTTCTTGCCTTAAGGACACTGAGGGCAGCCTAAAACATGAATTGGCACTGCCCGCTGACCTAAGGCACCTGCTGGCGAGACAGACAACATGGTCGCGACATCACTCTCTACATATAGTTCAGACACAACTACCACAGCACGAAAAGAGATGACAAGGGGTCTAGGACTAGGCCACAGTCAGGGACTCTCGTTACTATGGTGACAGACGAGAAGGGTGTAATACTACGCAGTGAGGTCACAGGGGGAGGGAGCGGGACACGTAGGCGCGGGACGAAAGCGTAATCGGCAGCCGCCGCTCGCGGGGGCTCTGTTCTGAGCGCGAGGAGGAAGGAGAGCGAAGGGGGGTGTTGGAGGTGCGCGTGCTCGCTCTCCCTTCAAAGGTCCGTTCCCTGGATCTGTCGGGCGCGAGAAGAGCGGGAGGACACGCTCGAGGGGCTTCGCTGTCAGGGGCGCGCGCGCCTATTAGCATCTGCCCGGCGCCAGGAAGAAACCCCCTGACTTGCCGGGGACTAAGCCGGGGCAAGGCAAGAGACGACAGGAGGAAGAGGAAAAGACCGACGCAACCACCTGGAAGGTGGGACTAGACGTTCTCCCGCCAATCCCGAGCAAGCGGAGGAAAGACGCCAGCCAACCAGGGCAGCGCTTCTGGGAGCCACCACACCAATCGGAGGAGCGGCAGTCGCGGCCGAAGCCGGAGCAGCGCGCCAATCGCGGGCTAGCCAGCACCAGAGAGCGCGGAGTCGGGGATGTCCTACAAGCCTATCGCGCCTGCCCCCACCAGCTCCGGAGCCGCCGGCACCAGCAGTAGCAGCGCCAGCCCCGCCCCCGGAGCCCCGCCGGTCGGTAAGCCCCTCCGCCAGTCAGCCTTTCGGGCCCCCCCCCCCGTCACTTCATACCTTCTCTCTAGACCCAGATAGAAGGGGGGGGGCGGGGGGGGGGAGGGGGGAATTGGGGGGAGCAAAAAAGAACGGGCAGCTCCGCGGCCGGAGCCGCCTGGGCGACGGCCGGCGTGGGAGGTCGCCTCAGCTCTCTCCCCCCTCCCCCCCTTCGTCTTTCCTTGAGAAGGCTTTTCGTGGGCCATCTTCCGCGACTGCCTGACAATGCAGAGGGCTCGGAGGAGGCCGGTTTTGCTCTCACAAAAGACGAAGGGGGGGAGTAAGAGGCAGAGATTAAAAGGAACACTAGAATTAACTGTGTGTTTTTTAAAAAATTTTTTTTTAAAATCATCACTGACTAATGCAAACAATGCAAATGTATGGGTTTCCCTGTAAGCAGTATGGGCATTACGTTTGGAAACAGCAGGTGTTGAAAGGCCCTGCTAGAATGGGAAAAAAAAAAGAAATTACTGTAAAGTTGAATTGCTGAGACGGCCATGTGACCTGGAAAAGTGGAGGTGAGAAATGAATGGGTAGAGCAGTTTCACATTCACAGTTTGCAGAAGTAACTCCCAGTACAGTATATCTGTATGAATGAGGCTTTGTTGGCCTAGTGACCAACAAAAGTATTGTTGAAAAATAGGGAATTATGACTTGGTTTTGGAGCATCCTGTAGCAGCAATAGCAATTTGTAGATGCTCTAGAGGAAAAGCCTATTCTGGATATGAATGGCAATTTCATGTTCCCAAAGGGATTGATTTCTAGTATTGGAATTTGATTTCTCTTGTTATTCTTCAATCAGGAAGATTCCGATTGGGTTTTACTCAGTGTCTCACTGCCAGTTATATAATAGGGAATACTTTTTTCCAGGCACATTGGCTTTTAATCTTTATATGTTGGCTTGTTCAAAGGAGGCTTCTGGAGTATTTCATTTATCAGGATTTAACTCTCTGCCTCTCCTTTTGGCAAACTTTAGTCCAGTTTGTGTAAGCTTGTAGTTGTGAGCAGCTGAATAACCTTTTTTCCTTCTATGTTTGAGATCTAATTTCACTCGACTTTCTGGTTGTGCAGCTGTATGAAGGGTATTCTGTGTGGTGTAGTCAATAGCGTAATGGACTAGGACTCAAGAAAACAGGGTATAATTCCATTGCTCTGCCATGCAAACTCACAGGTGTGTGGGTGGAACTGGTAAGTCCACTCTTATATACCTAATTTACCTTGAAAACCTTATCAGGGTTGGTATCAGTCAGTTCTGACTTGATGGCACATAACAACAACTGATAGATATGTGGAACATCCTTGTATATAAGTGTGGGGAAAATGCTGCACAAATAGGGACGGACTGAGAGCAGAGTGCATACTGACCTTGCATCCTGAAGGGCCTTAGCATCTTTAGCTCAGAGGGATCTCAGTCCTTGCTAGTTCCAGCTAATAAAAATCTCAGGTAGTATGGCAAACAAAAGTTCCTACCTGGTATCACTGGGCACTGTTGCTACTTAAAGTAGACAGCAGTGGGATAGACAGCCAAAATTGCTGTAAGGTTGACTTCATAAATTGTAACTCATGCAAAATTTTATTAACCTGTCCACCCAAGCGTGTTAGTAATTTGTGGGGAAAAATATTGAGGGGAGGTGAAAATGCCTTCTTTCTTGGTAGGCAACTTTTGCCTCCATATAATTCAGGAATCAGTACTCATTATCTTTATTGTCTCAATTAGAACACTATGTGGTTTGCACAGTGGATTTGGAAGAGCTGTGTTCTTTGAAACTGTTCCTACCATGTTATGTGTGGTTTTGTTTGCTTTGCTTACAATAGCCCTTCTTAAGAAAATTTATTGCAAAAGCAAAAATGTAACTAAATGGAGCAAAAAAAATAGTTTTGGCTTTCTACTGTAGTAAGAAAAAGAGTTAGCAAATAATCTCTCTAAGGGCCGAATCTCTAGCTGTCCAAAGTAATCTTCTAGATGAGGTAGCTGCTGTTCTTTTTCTGTACCTTTCAAATCTGAGTTACTGTATTAACTTGCTTTCACTGTCCTCCCCCCCGCAAATTAATTCCATATGTTTCTGACTACATACTTATATGCTTAGTACTTTTACAATAATTCCCATTTTTTTCACAGTTAAAGATTCTGTATTTTCAAGTCATTTACAGTATTCTTATAAACTTGTCCTAAGTCAAATAATCTCACTAGTTCTTACTGTAATGATATAGTGATGACCAGCATGTGTGCATGTGATTTATCAACACAATCTGCAAGATATTTAACAAGAGAGTTCTTCACTTTGAGAATGAAGAAATGTTAAAATGATGGTGTCATGCTATAAGCAAGGACTTATAGGGAAACATAAGATGGTGTCTGCCAAAAAATGATGGCTAGATTCAGTAGAGGGCAGTGGTAGGTACAGTACTTACTGTCTCACGAAAGTGACTGCTCTTTTCATCTCTTCCTTTTTCTCTTCAAGAGAAGAAAAATTGTCTTAAACGTTGAACTGCAGGAAATTAAAGCAAAACCACAAGTTTGTGGTCAAGACCACAGGGTTGGAACAGGAAGAAGTTATGTGTTTGCATGACCTGAACATATGTGTTGCTAATTTTCTGTGCTCAATTTTTCAGAAGGCTTTACAGTATTTTCAGGAGATGTTGTTGATACTCTCAAGGGAAGTAGTTGAAGCAGGACAGTAGCCTGTGGATGTAATGTAATAATCCAAAGTGAGAGACAAATTGAAGTTCTAAAGACTACAGTGAGAGGCGGGTTGATTTATTTTATTTTGGGTATGACAAAACAAACCAAATGACTAAAACACAGACAAACAGTTATAAAGTAACTGTTTAGTCCAAGATTGGCAAAAGTAAATCAGAATGAGTTGAGAATCCTTAAATTGCCTACAAGTTTAACACCCAAACCATAATGGAAGAATCTCTTTTTTTAAAAGTGTTTATGAATTAATAGTTTAGCTATTTGTTTTAAGGGCTTTGTATTCATTGCTACTGAAATGCTTTCCTTTCTTTTGATGTTTGAAAGGAATGGCCATTATATGCTTAATTTTAGTAGCAATAAGGCTATATATTTAGAAATAACATAGAATATTTTAAATATTTTTTCTGAGTATTTTAATTTTTTAAGCTGTTGAGTCAAACCAACACTGATATGTTAATGAAGGCAGACCAGTTATTCTAAAATTTTAAGAGTCAAAGTTTATGGAATATATTTATATATGCAAGTGTAACATAAATAAAACAAAACCAATTATTCTGGCATCTGTAAGACTTATTCCACCATGAGCTTTCTTGAATTAAAAATCCCCTTCCATAAGTATATGGAATATATTATTGAGGCTGCAGTTTTATTGCACTGCATGTAACTGAGAAAGTAGATTGTAATCCACATAAACTCACACTGGAATAAACCTATTAGTATTTAAGGTTCTATAATACGCTTGGTTTGGTTTTGCTTTTTCATACATGCTGCCTTAAGAACCTTTACAGCATCACTGAGATTTAGCAACCTTGAGTTTAACCATTTTATTTACAAGATACCCCAGCTATTAATGTAATTGCACCTGTCCTTGAAAGACCACTTACAATTTTTTGCTTCTTATACACAATCTAAATAGAAATCATGATAAATTAGTGTTGTTTCTATTTTTATGCCTACTCGCATATATTTTTATCAGGCTGACAGTTCCCTTGCTAGGCTAGCGGTATGAAGTCACTTGTGCTCTTTCATGTCACTGCCAGTGCATGTTCACAGTGAAATGGTGCTCCATATGGAGGCCCCTACCCAAAAGGATACATGGATGATTTGTTCCTTCCAGAAGTAAAGGGAGGAAAGATTACCAGTGCATTAAGCCTTTCTGTATTGTCTCAAACATTTATCAACTTCCATAGTTTCTGACTTCTAGCCATGGTAACTAGGGCTGATAGAGTTTATAGTCCAGAACACCAAGAAGACACCAGCTTGTTTCACCACCTTCAACTTTATTATTATTATTACAACCATAGGTCAACCACGTTAGACATACAAGACTGAAATACAATAACAAAAAAATTACAATCAATCCAAAGCATACTGAAATTCAGATTACAATTCAGCACAAGTTCCTAATCTAATTACTGCAGTCATCTGCTTTTTCTTATTGTACAAATCACTGCACTGACTTTGGCAATTTTGGCTGTAGTTTCACTTGAGGAGAAAAGAGGTGTAAAATTTATTGAGTTTACCTGGATAATGTTTTTAAATTGGGAGAATAAGTAGATTGCATGAGTCTTTTAAACATGTGTAAGATAATAGGACATGTTCCGCGGTTTCCACCACGCCAGATTGCCAGGAGCAAAAACATTGGTTTTAAGGGAAATACAAGTATCTTCCCTCTAAAAAGGCTGAAGGCACAGTATTGCAGTGGGACAGAGTAAAAGCTTTCTGATGCCCCACAAGTTCTAAAGTATAAAGTTAATCTGCTGCGATATGGATCTTACTGTGATTCCAAGCCACTGAGTACTATGGGACTCGTGCTGTGTCAAGTTGGGGGGCTGTATCCCTGATCCACTTCCTAATAGTCTCTTTAGCATTCATAGATCCTATGTAACAGGGTCAAAGGGGACAGTGATTTTTCCTCCACTGCTCTTGCCCATCCTAAAATCAGAGTGCTAAAACAATAGGATTACGTTTTTACTTCAGCCAAAAACTGATTATTTGAAGCCAACCAGCTTAAATACTTCCATGGGTGGAACAAGCAGTGATAAATGGCTCCCCAATGTCACTAACCTGAAAAAATATGTAAACAAGCCCAGTGTTGGGTTTAAACATTTCTCCCCTTCTTTTCCCTGTATTCATCTTGTGCGTTCAACACAGTGGTTGATTGAAACTGAATAGCAGTTGTAATACTAATGAAGTAAGAAGTTAACATGCTGTTCTTTGCACTTGCTCTAACTTTGGAATCTAAATGCAACCAACCATAAGTAATGGAAGGGTATACTCTAAATAATAACAAACAAGCCAGATATTAGTCTGTGATGGGGTGTTAAGTACTTTATCGAGGAAACAGCAGTAGCATTAAACAAACGAAGTGCTGTTTGGCTGTGTACGTGAACACTTGAGGCACTTTTCTGTAAGGTAAACATTCCAGTTTAACCATTTTAAATGCAAATAAATCCTCCCCTGGATTGCCAGCCCTTATGCTTATACATGCTTTGCTTTTATAATTATTTGTGACGTAACAGATGTAATAAGAGGAGGTAGACATGCAACACATTTTCTTATTTAGTTCCTGGAAGAATGTTTAGGAAGTAATTCATCATGTCCTGTGGAAGAAATAAACGAGCTGAATAATCAGAAGTAAACCATCACCTTCAATGGTTAAGATTCTGTGGTGGTCTTTTAAGATTGCCTTTCAAGCAGTATATTGTCCTTAATCTAAATGTACCACACCCACTCCCTTTTCTTTTACTTTATACTTAGAGGACAGGTTGGAACAAGGAGAATCCATCTGTTGCCAGCTTACGTCAACCACATTGTACAGGTATTCAGAGAAGAACTACGATGACTATTTGAGAATCAGATGCCAGTTGTTTGGCTGCAGAGAGTTCAGAAGGCATACAAAGCTTGCACTAAATAAAATACTAACAGTTCTTAGTCTACTCTCCAACTCCCTCAGCTATTGGCTTGATTAGAAATGACCTTGACCACACTGGGAAGACACATAAAAGATGCAGTGTTGTATCTTCGAAGAGCTTAATGGGCATTGTGAGTCAATGGTATTGGAGAACCTTTGACACTCTTGGCTAAAATGCTATCTTTTTTTCTTGTTACTTGCAGCAACCAGTGTCCCATCTCCTTCTGGATCTGCACCTGGAGCTTCTGCCCCATTCCGGCCTCTCTTCAACGATTTTGGGCCCCCATCAATGGGCTACGTGCAGGTGGGTTTCTGTTCTGGGATTGGGGAAGGTTCTTTCTATAATGGGAGAAGAGTTTCCTTAACTTTTTCTACCTTTAATTTTGTAGGCTATGAAGCCACCAGGTGCCCAAGGCTCACAGAGCACATACACAGACTTGCTTTCTGTCATTGAGGAGATGGGCAAGGAAATCCGACCTACCTATGCAGGCAGTAAGAGCGCTATGGAGAGGCTGAAAAGAGGTACAGAACACCTCTAGAGCAGTGGTTCCTGACCTTGGGTAACGCAGGTGTTTTTAGATGGCAATTCCCAGATGCCTTCACCACCAGCTATGCTGGCTGAGGTTTCGGGGAGCTGCAGTTCAAGAACACCCGGGTTAGCCAAGGTTGGGAACCACTGCTCTAGGAAATTATTGCCTTCTGATCATGTGATATGAAAATACATGAAGTATACTTACCTGGCAGAGGAGATACCTGATCATGAAAATACATGAAGTAAAATATTTTTCTCTGAAAGTAGAAGAATTCTTGAAGTTCCAAATATAATTTCACATAAATAGGATTTATTTTTCCCAGAAATCCTAAAGCATCAGTTTCCAAAATTATTTCAGGGTGTTACTTTTTTGTTTGTTTCTGTGTCTAATTCTAACCAATTTTAAATGATTGATTGGACAATATCACATAGTTCTTCCTGTGAATTCATTTCCATCTGACTTCTTTTTTAATCTCTTTGTCCAGAGATGAACATAAATAGGATTTATTTTTCCCAGAAATCCTAAAGCATCAGTTTCCAAAATTATTTCAGGGTGTTACTTTTTTGTTTGTTTCTGTGTCTAATTCTAACCAATTTTAAATAGTTCTTCCTGTGAATTCATTTCCATCTGACTTCTTTTTTAATCTCTTTGTCCAGAGATGAATAAGAAGTTATCTTCTACCTCTAATCTAAAAACCTGGCCACCTCTGCACATTGTAGGGCAGACAGCTGAGTCATGTTGGGAACAGGGAGAACCTGCCTGATTAGACTCTGTAGCCAGTGGGTGGAATCCTTGCTTAGCAATGAAGTATTGACCTACTTCTCCAAGCAAGTTGTCTACCTGTCCTGTGGTTTCTTTTTGCTATCCTACATGTTACCAACAAGCACTGTATTCTCCCACTTAGGAAAACATACTCTCTTCTTCATCTGGTTCTGTAAAAGGCCACTCAATACAGAATACCGTATTTTTCGCTCCATAAGACGCACAGACTTTCCACACCCCTGTTTTGTGGGGAAAAAGTGAGTCTTATGGTGCAAAAAATACAGTATTTTTCCTTCATAAATAATGTTTATAATCTTTTCAGTTCCATTCAGTGTTGTACCTCTTGTCAGTGTAAATTTTAAGAGGCAAATCAAAACATAAATTTTTGGAGTGTAATAGCAGATGACTTGGGGTGCAGCAACAAATGCCCACACAATCTTCTGAACTTGTAGCAGCATGCTGAAAAAGTTTATGCAACTTGAGTTGTCCCAGCGGGTATTACTAACAGGAATCTGTCCATTATTTATGAAATCAAAATATCTTCTAGACAGAGTGACCTTTTATAGAATTGGCTGAAGAAGCAAGTTGTGTAATATGATTCCAGCCAATATTACAGCTTAGCAGGGAATGCAGTGTGATGACTAACACAAGTCCACTATGTGTATAAAATACGGTTTATTAGTGAAATCTGCCAAGCAGACTTGTATTCTGAAGCTGATGGATTTGTGTATCTTAGTCTGTGTGTTTCCTTCACAGGGATTATTCATGCCCGGGCACTGGTAAGAGAGTGTCTGGCAGAAACAGAGCGTAATGCCCGTACGTAACAGTTGCTTCCTCCTGGCATTTCCTCCAGAGGACCCTGGCACTTTCCTGCCAACCAGCATTTTGGAATCTGCAAGTTTTCCTCCTGCCCCTTCAATCCTTTCCACCAATCAATGTCTCAAGTCCTAGAACTATAATCACCTTCAAGGACTTTATACCAATCAGCATCTGAGAATCTCAGGCTTCTGCTCTGCATCACCAATTGGCTTTCTGGGAACATATGCAGAGAAAAATTATTGCACACACCTTTCGGTCAACCCGTGGGGAGGGTGAAATGACCGGTGACAAGTCTTATATCTTTATAGAATGCGTGGGTTCGGGGTTTTTTTTATAATAAAAGGAAAGCTGTGGCATTTGGATTATTTCTTCTTCACTGTGGTTTTCTAGTATCTTTTTCATGTGGTGTGGAAGGAAATGTTCTCTTCCTCCTAAGACATTATCAGGGGTCTGCAGTGCAAGACATATTTCCTTAATACAGCACAAGGCCCTTGCTGCCACTTGTAATGGAAATTCAACCAACAGTCACTGAATCTGCTTTGGAAAACTTGTAATAAAATATTTCTACTCTTAAATAATCTGTGCTTCTGCTGTTATTACTACATCAGGAATTGGTAGAAAAATCTAAAGTTCTTTTGCAAAGAACCGAGTGGTGATTGCCCCTAATACTTTTCCTCTACTCATTGTATTTTGTTCTCAGGCTTCAATATTTTCAGCTTATTTTATTTGTTGTTATATGAGTTGGCAAAGTTATTTTAAAACATGAGCCCAGGTACTTTATTTGCAAATAAAATTATCTCAGACATAGAGATGATAACTAGTTTTAGGTTGTCCTCTGTATTTACTTATCTTGAGCCTCATAGACTCGATTACACTTACTAATGAGTAAGCAGATGCAAAATTATATTCTTGGTATCTTGAGTTCAAATGCCTTTTTAATTCATCAGTTTCAGCATTGTTATACATTGACTGAAATCTCATTACATAACTTATGCCTGTAGAAGGGTAAAGGGAACAATTTTCTGTAATTAAAAAGCTTATATCCCTGTCCAGCTGCTTTGATTTCTATGTAATCCCTTTTATCATATGGGAGCAGTGGGATATTTTTCATTATTTAAAGATTTCTTCTGTATTATTGCTCCCAAGCAGTGAAAGGGATTACACAGGAGCCATAAAAGCTGCAGGACAGAAGTACAAATTTTTTCATTATCAAAAATTGTCCTCTGTTGGTGATGCCCTCACCCATAACAAGTTATGTAAGAAGGTTACCTGCTTAACTCATTCTCCATCTCTTTTCTTGAGAAATAACACATCTAATTAAAAATGCTGAGTCTAGGTGATGGAAGAGAAGGTCTAGGAGGGACTGAAGGAAGAATGTAATTGACAGAGGCATTAAGTGCTCCCTCCCTGCTTGCTGATCTTTTCCCAGATGTTTTTGCTTTATTGATGAGAAGCAAGGACGAATTTGGGAACTACCTGGTTCCTGATGTGACATGCAGTTCAGCTGCTACGACTTCCATGGATCAAATCATTTATCATGTACCCAAAAGCCAGATTAAAATGCTCCTGGGGAATGCCCAAACTATGCCATCCTGGATTTGGGCAGGATGTGGAAATATTCCGTGTTGGCCCCCAAATGCTTCGATTTTGCATTTCTTTATTCTTATTAAACAGTTTTTAGCCACTTGGTAAATAGGTGGGGTAGGTTGCTCCATCAAATATACTTAAGCTTCAAATTCATAGCTTTTATTAGAATAGTACAGAATTTGTGTTAATTATTTTATACATTTAAAAGATGTTGAAAGTAGAATCTGTTCAGTCATTGGAATTCTTGGTTTCATCAGCATGGCTATAGGGGAGCACCTAGCCCTGCCCTTTTTCCATTGCTTTGTTAACCTGAAGACAGTGACCTCAGAACAGAAAAGGTCCCTCATATTGTGTAGGCTCTACATGCCTGCAAGAATCCAGATTTTCTAGAGACTGCATGTGGAACATTTCCTGTTCAGACTCTTCCATCAGGCATAAACAATATGGTGATGGAGTGGGGCAGAGGCAGATGCTTCTCACTAACTATGTTGAAGAAACCAGGAATTCTGAGTAGAGTTAAGGTCTGTTGACTGATACACAGGTTACTTTGGAAGTGAGTATTAAGATCAATAATTATTCCCCAAAACGTGAAAGACCATTGAGTAGAAGGGGTTTGGCTTTTGTATTTTACAAACCCTCTTGAGTAAATAAACCATTGAATATTGCACTTCCAGATTCATCCTTCCAGTATGACTGTTGGCCATATGACTGTTCACTTTCTTTCATTTAATGAAAGATATATTATGGTTGCTGAATAATGGTGATTTTGCATGCTTTTAAAGAAACCTTCATGTGCTCAGTACGACCACAGTCTGCATATTCAGTGCACCAACAGCATTTTACTATGTTCCTATGTGCCCTCCTTCGCAGACAATTGCACTTATTTATCTGTTTATTCATTAAATATGTGTCCTGTCGTCCCACTATGCACAGTATCTTGTCCATTCATATTAATAGTCATTGGGATAGCTGGGCTTGTCTCTGTGTGCAAGTCTGGTAAAATATACTGTATATTCAAATTCATGGAAAATAGTAGTTATTGGGGTGTAGATGTAATTATATACCGGTAGGTCAGAATGCTCTGGGAATGTGAGCAGGGACTGCATAATTCACCGTAGATCATTGATAATGGGCTGGGCCCCTATTATTTACATACTCGGCCATGCACACAGTATGAGTCCTGGCAACTCATCAGTTAGCCACAATTCATCGTAGGAAGTTGCACAGTTCCTCCACACACATCAACTGGACTTCAGCCATAACATTTGAAAATATGAGTTGAAAACACGTGAAAAGCCTAAAGAAGATGCAGCTGCAATAAATTGTTTTCTGTAGAGAGATGGGATGCTAAGGCAAAACATGATGTAGAACGGGGTAATCAGTAGGTGTCTTTATCACAGGAATCATCCTCTAAAACCAACAAATGGCCTGCAAATTTGAAATAGGATTTAGTTTCTAAAATGTGTTTATCTAATGTAGTTAAAAAAGGTGTTATTTGAACAGAGTCAAGTTGTTAACTCTGTAATTTAACTGCAACAACTCTTGTCTTGTTAGCTGCCTGGTCGGGGAGATTGACATGCAAGGCAAGAAGTCACTTACGATATGTTGTTTTATAATGAAGTATGATTTAGAGGTCTGAGAGTGGAGATGAAAAAATGCATGTGAAATCTGCATTTTGGAGTATCTTAAGAAGAGTTATACTTTAAAGGCACATTCCCTTGAGATTAAGTCCAGCTGAACTTGGAGATGTTTATTACTAAATAGCACTGCAAAGAAACAGGCTTGCCCTATTTTCATGAGAACACAAGGTTATAAACTGCTCCCCAGCTAGTAATGGTTCCTATAGGCATTTATGTATCTATACATTCCACTTAAATAAGATAATAGACTTCTATTCAGTGATTGCAGGCACAGAAAAATGAAGGCTTTGTTAAAACAGTTCTGAACCAATACAGTATATAGAAACATTAAGCTGAAATTACTGTAGTAAACTAGGCCAGATCTTGGTACAAAACAAAAGGACCTGCCAAACTATGCCACCATTAAAGCAGGCTGCAAAACTATATACTGTATAAACAAGACTGTGGTGCAGGTGCACACTATCCAGATTTGCAATTTGCTAAATTCATATCATAAATTTATATAAAGACATGGTACTTACCTGCTACTCCCCAACCCCCCATTTGATTTTTTAAGGGCACCAAAAAGGACACTGTGACCCACAAAATACTTTGTGTAGAGACTCTGAGGAATGATTAGTCTTTTCCCTTGCAAAACAAGACTGTGGTGCAGGTGCACACTATCCAGATTTGCAATTTGCTAAATTCATATCATAAATTTATATAAAGACATGGTACTTACCTGCTACTCCCCAACCCCCCATTTGATTTTTTAAGGGCACCAAAAAGGACACTGTGACCCACAAAATACTTTGTGTACAGACTCTGAGGAATGATTTGTCTTTTCCCTTGCAGCCCTTGACTGGTGCATGCCTTTAGGCAATGCAGCTCTGCCTAAGGTGGGGGGGGGGAGGTAATATTTCTTTAGAGCTTAGAAGAAATTTGTTATGGTATCTTTTCCGTAATAGCAATTGTGTTATTTTTAAGTGTAACAAGAAGCCGTCAAGTTACACAGGTGTAACGAGAGGTTATTTTCAAATTTTAGTTTTAAGGGTGCTTTTTACAATATTTTAACAGGAATTTCAGCTCTTGCGGTATTCTGTTACCAATTCTAAGTAGTAAGAGAAATGTTCTTTGCTTTTGTCCTTTCTTATTACTTTGTAATTATTTCCAAAGTGCAGTATCAGAATTGGGAACTAGATGGAATCAGAGTACTGTATTCTGCTGCATTTTTCTGACCTCTTAGTAATAACAAGGCAAAAAGGAAATAGAATGACTTCTGTGATTAGAGAAAGAAAAACCGCAGCATGGCTTCTCAAAAGTAAAGTATTCCTTTTAAAATTTAAGATTTCTGCTGTTGTTATTATCAGTTTCTTATTCCTTGTGTGTCATTTGCTCTATGACCATTAAGGAAATAATTCTCTGGACTCGTATTTGGGAATAAAACTGCAATGAATTCCTTCAATCTCTAGCCCAGCAGAATGAAGATCACACTCATCTGTTTTTTAAAAAATGACTACAGAACTCAGTTGCCTACTCTGGACAGAATAGGTTAGTGGGTTAGGACTTGGGGCTTGCAAGGATTGTGAATTCAAATCCTCACGGTGTCTCCCCAAAGAGCAGCCAGCCAGGATCACCTGGAACATGCATGGCTGATCGGGCTATTAGCAAAATTCCTGTTTTACAAGTCAACTCCAGTTTAATGAATGCTATTGTTAATAAGCATCCTCTGTTTTCAGTGGTGGATTAGATAGAAGGCAGCAACATGGGAGGTCTGGGAGTGGCCGAGGGCATGCACAAACTTTCTTCCATTTTGACACTGTCTGGAAGACGTATTGGACTGTCACAAAACTGAGGAACCATGGGGCACTATGTCACAGTTCTCCCATCAAGCCTCTTTTCCACAGTCACTCGGCCACATGCCCCCTGCTGAGCCTGAGCCAGGAGAGGGCAGGGTGTGCAGACATGGAGAGATCCTGTGAGTCTTGGCAAAGAATATTTGACTCCCCAGCACACTGTCCAGTCTGCTTGAACAAAAGTGCTATAAGAAGTTTAATGTAATGCAAAGATTCCCAAGGTTGGCATATAAAGTTAGTGCACCCAGCTTGTAAGATAGGCTGCCACCATTCCCATAAAAACATTGAAAACTTAGTAGCTTGGTTGAGCATTATCTTGCTGTTTATTTGACTTTAGTACCGCACTCCGGAACCAGAAATCCAGACAAATGCTTGAAAGGATTTTTGTATTTTATTAAAAGAAGGAGGAAAGGAAAAAAGGGCAATGTAAAAGAATACAAGCTCTACACAATACAAAGAAAGGTTACTCAGAAACCAAGATCAAATGTGATTACAGGATTACAGAATTAAACTAAT